GATCATAGATAGCTTTGATTTCCTCTTCTGAAAACTGCCTGTTCATATCCTTTGACCATTTATCAAATGGGGAATGGCTCTTATTTTTATAAATTTGACTCAATTCTATATTCAGTATATATTTAAGAAATTAGGAATTTATCAGAGAAACTTGCTGTAAAATTTTTGACATTACTTCACTATCCATGGTATCTTGTAGCAAATGTAGTTTCCCGGATTATCGCTTTGAATTAGGCCTATTTTTGACTTTTGCTTTGCCTGAGATCTGGATCGCTAATCCTACCCTCTTCATTTCAGCTGAAATTTAATATACTCTGCTCTAGTCCATCATTTCAACTCTCTTTGTGTCTTTCTGTCCCAAGTGTTTCCCTTGTACACAACGTAGTGTTGGATTCCAGTTTCCAATCTATTCTGCTATACATTTCCATTCTATGGATTCTATCCATTAACTGTCTATTTCCTTCTATGCTATTTTCTTCTATTTATCTTCTCTTTCTCTTTTCATATTGTCCCTCCTTTAAAGTTTATCTTGCTTCTGACCACTGTCTCCTCCAATCATCCTTCTCCCTTATAACCCCCTGACCCCCACAAATATCTTCTATCCCCTTCCCCTCCTATCTCCCTATTGGGTAAAATAGATTTCTATATCCAACTGAGTGTGTGTGTGTGTGTGAGTGTGTATATTCTTCCATCTCTGAATCAATTCCAATGAGAGTGAGGTTCAAGCATTTCCTGCCACACCCCCATTTTCCCCTCCACTATAAAAGTTATTTTTTGCATGCCTCCTTTATGTGAGAATCCTGTCCAGTACTCTACCATCTTAGCTCTGCCCTCTCCCAGTTACAGTATGGTTCAAGCCCACTCGGGAGCTGCGGCCCACTAACTCCATGTTTGACACCTGTGTTCCAGCTAATCAGCAAATAATAAATCAATCCCTTACTTGTAACATTTATTAGTTATAGCATTTACTGATTTCCTGGGTGTAAATTCTCACACTGAAAATTTAGCAATCTGTTCTTTAGTCATTTTAGTTAGTTCCAGCACACCCCTCAGGCATCAAAGGTGATCTAGTCCAAGCCCTTCATTTTATAGATGGAGAAACTGAGGCCCAGGAAACTAAATGACTTGCCCAAAGTCATACAATTATTGATCATCAGAGGCATGAATGGAACACAGAACTACTGACACCAGGTCCAGTATTCTTACTTATAAAAATGTTCCCCAAAACATGCCTACCATAACGTAGTTTTGGAATATAATTCTCTCTAGAAATTTCAAAAAAGTTAATTCAATATCTTGTTTTATCATGAAGAAAAAAAGATAATTGAGAAAATAATTTAAAATAGTTAAAATGTACTGTTTGATAGAAAGGAAATAATAATTGTCATTGTCATCATCATCATAATTATCTAATTGGTGTAATAGAAATTCTGCATTTGGATTATCTTAAGGAAGGAAAAAAGCAAAGTCCTAGCTGATTCCTTCCAAAGAGCTGTCACTCAGTAGACAAACCTCCATTCCCATTTATTTGCCCTTCCCCTTACCAATGAGGCCATTGTTGCCTTGTCTGGAGACCTGGGTCCATTGCCAACAATTTTCTGAAGGGGGGCATTACTTGTCTTTCCCTCTTTGTCGTAGTTGCTGTCCTTCAAGTAACAGATGATTCCAGTGGGAAAGAACAAAAAATTGGTTTCTGACATGGTCCAATAAAGGCTCAATTATTTTAAGTGGCAGACATTTGCCAGGCTGCCATGTGGGCATCATTGTTTTTCTCCCAGGTGAATAATGTGGGTTTTTCAGTGTCTCTGAATAAGATGGGTGACATGGAATTAATTAAGTTACCAATAGAAATGTCAGGTGCCATCACCTATATTAGGGATTGTATTGTTCCTGGCTGTTGGACACTGTCATTTTTAATGGTGTCTCTTCGTGTCCCTTCTCTGCTTCTCAAAGTTGCAGTACCTCTGGACTCAGGCATCTCCTAGCTGTTCAGTTTGATCTATGAGTTCATGATCATGTCAGTCCTGGAGTTAATAATGGAATTAGGGGATTGGTTTGTGATTTCATTGATAGACAGAACTCCTAGATGATGAAACTCCATCTACTAATCCAAGTTGGCCTGCTCTCTACAACTCATTGTCTTAAAGAATTGCCTTGAAGGGGAAACTAGATGGCTCAGTGGATAGATCACTGGCCCTGGAATCAGGAGGACCTGAGTTCAAATCTGGACTCAGACACTTAGTAACTGTATGATCCTGGGCAAGTCATTTAACCCCAATTACCAAAAAAAAAAAAAAAAAAAAGAATTTCGTTGAGCAATGAGTAGTTAAGTAACTTGCCCAGGATCACATAGTCAGTATGTGTCATAGATGGTACTTTAACCTAGGTCTTCTTGGCTTCAAGGTCAAATCTCTAACCATTATGCATGCTAATATTCTGGTGTCAATAGCATAGCTCTTACTGAGGCTTGACATCATAGCTTGTTAGAGCTAGAAGGGATCTTAGATGTGATTAGTTCTACTCACCCCTCTCATTTTACAAATTAGGAAACTGAGGCACTGAGAGGATATGATTTGCCCAAGGTCACATAACTAGTATAAAAGACACAACTGGAATGCAAACCACCTAACTCCTACTCCAGGATGCCTCCAACAGAACTGAGAAGTTCTCAATAGTTTTCCCACAATTGGCTCAAAACCCAGGGGATTTGGTTAAATGGAGCAAAAGCTCTATTTATGAGCAAACCTTCTTCACAAAGAACTTTCATTTGGAGGAGCTATTCTTTTCTTGTTGGTAGGAAGTATGGCATAATGGATGAAGAGCTGGCTTTAGAATGAGGAAGACCTGAGTTCAAATCCTTTCTCTGAAAATACTTTAACCTCTCAATGCCCCAGGAACCTTTCTATTACAGTAAATGGAAGAGGAGGTGCTAACTTGTACTAGCGATGATTGTTTCTTCACCACCTCTTCCCCTTACCAGTGAAATCATAGATCTAGTCTAAAAAAATCACTTCACAGTCACAGAAGTCTAATTGATTCTATTTTCATCAACTATAGGGAGGAAAATATCCTTAGAGCCAATCTGGATGCATCCCCTCATTTTAAAGAAGCATAATAATTTACCCTTTGAGATTTAGCAAAACTATGAGACGGGGGATGAGGGAGAAGAACAAACACTGAAATGTAAATAGGAAGACTTTTAGATGCCAAAATGTTATTCTACAGCTTAAAGAAGTCTGAGGTTTGAAGAGGTCAATTGCATATGAAGAGGCCAAAAAGACAATGAGCTTGTCCCAGGATACAGATCAATTCCATACTTTGTCCCAAATCTATCATCTCCATAAGACTCAACAAGAATCTGGGAAGTATAACTGGACTGAGCACCATAAGATAAAGTCCTTGATTGAGGGCAGCCACCCCTGAATTATGTGTGTGTGTGTGTGTGTGTGTGTGTGTGTGTGTGTGTGTGTAATTTTTCAATCACATCCAACTCTTCATGACCCCATTTGGGGTTTTCTTGGCAAAGATACTGGAGTGGTTTGCCATTTCCTTCTCCAGTTCATTTTACAGATGAGGAAACTGAGGCTAACAGGATTAAGTAACTTGCCTAGGGTCACACAGTTAGTAAGTGTCTGAGATCACATTTGAACTCACAAAAATGAGTCTTCCTAATTCCAAACCCAGCCCTCTATCCACTGTGCCACCTAGCTGCCCCACAAAGAATTGTTAAATGGGGGAGATCAAATTTCTTCTACTTCTAGCCTAGAGGAACTAGACCTCAGGACTGAAGTTTTGATTCCAGAGTCAAAGAGGAAAGCCTTCTGCCAATCCTTGATTAAGGGTTATTCTCCCTTGCTGAAAAGATCACTGTAATACTCCAGCTAAAAAAGATTCTATAGCAACTAGCCAAGCCAGGGGCTAGAGGTAATGAAGACTACACCCACCCAAAAAAAGCCAGCCCAGGGAGTCCAGTTAATTTACCTATCCAGTAGAAAACATCACACTCTTTAGAAAGACCAGTGGCTGAGTTTTCTACCTGGCTCAGTCTGGCCAAACAATAGGGGCCAAACAATCTGCCTGGCCTATTCTGGTAGCCACTAAGTGACTTGCTTAACCTAGCCTACGGATAAATTGGCCAATTCAGTTTAAACACTGTGTTCTGTAATCAGTCTAACTAAACAGCAGAAGAACTCATCCATCATATCCCCCACTGAATTTCTAGAGGACCCTCTGGAGAAAGAAAGGACAGTGAGGTCTTGTGGTGCTACAGTTGTGAATTGTTTTGACAAGGTATATTCCATACATGTGTGCATCAATATCATTGGAAGTTCATGACCATTTTTCTCCTGTATACTTTACATACCTATTAGTGGAAAAGTGGGCTCCAGGTTATATGGAAAGTGTTCTGTAATGACTGTTCTTGTTGTGCCATTTGAGTAAATACATTTGCTAAGAACTAAGTCTACTGTCTGATTGTTAGGGGGAAGCAAATTGGTGGGGGCTCATGAGCTACAAGTATAAGGAAGATAGCCAACCATAAGAGTACTCCTAGCATCCTAAGAGTAGTAATAGCTGCCCCTCTGAAACCCAGCCTTCTAGGCTAATGTGAGGTAAGAGAGTAAGCCTAGAGAACATGCTACAGAGAATTAAGCTGAGGCCCAGAGAAGTTGAGTAACCTGTCCAGATTCACACAGGGAAAAAAAAATAGAAAAGCCAAGATATCCACCCAGTCCCTCTGACTCCAAATTCAGTATTATTTCCACTACTCCATACTGACCCAATGTTCTTTTTTAGTGGAAATAGAACATACAAACAACAAACAGAGAAACAAAAAAAACTGGGTGGACACCTACTGAGCTGAAATGGGAGACCAGCTGTGTCTGTGCTGACATCCTAGCAAGGAAATTGGGTTTCCTTTGAAAAAGTAGCCTGTGAAACTCTATTCCTATTCTCATTCACTGTCTGAGCTCATAGATCAAAACATATCTTCTGTTCTTTAGGTGAGCAGTCTGCTCAAGGAAAAAATAAAAACTGACAATCTGATGAGTCCTCTCCACACCTGGGCCAATAAAAATGTAAGTTTCCTGTTTTCATTCCTTTGCTGTGATTTTCATTAATATCCTTTATTGTTAGCCTGCCTCAGCTTAGGGGTTTTTTTTTTGAGACCATTATAAACTGGAAAATTAATGGATTGTGTCAGTGAAATGCTCAAGTCTTATTTTTCTTTAAAATTTTCTCAGAAGCAAAAGAGAAAGACAAGAGATTGGATTTTTTTGAGGCTGTTTTGGAAATCCTTCTGGTCAAGCTATATAATCTGTGGCATACAGAAGGTCACCCACCAAGAGCAGTTCAGAGCAGAGTCGCGACAGTACCTTTTGAGTACTGTTTCTAGAGGTGACTCAGGTGGTTGTCTTAATGGAAATAATAATACATTTATAGTAGCTATTCACATATATTATCTCATGTATGGGCCACAATAGCCCTGTGACATAGGTGATATATGCAGCATAGTAAAATTGGCATGTATATAATATGTTGGGGTTTACCATGTACTTTCCCCTGCATTGGGATCATAAGATCAAAGGATTTACAACTGGAAAGGATTTGCAATCAGGTCATCTACTTCAACCCCTTTATTTTACAGATGAGGAAATAGGGCCCAGAGAGGTTTAGTCATTTGCCCAAGGTTCCATAGGTAGTAGGCAGCTAGGTGGTGCAGTAGATAGAGGGCCAGCCCTGGAGTCAGGAGGACCGAAGTTCAAATCCAGCCTCAGACACTTCCTAGCTGTGTGACCCTGGACAAGTCATTTAATCCCTGTTTGCCTCAGTTTCTTCATCTGTAAAATAAGCTGGATAAGGAAATGGCAAACCACTCCAGCATCTTTGCCAAGAAAACCTCAAACAGGGTCACAGAGAGTCAGACACAACTGAAATGACTCAACAAGAACAGTGTCTCATATACGAGCAAGGCTAGCACAAGAAGAGTCTGACTAATGTGGCATACAAGAGGAGAAATCACATTGCTCTTCCTCGTTAACTATCCCATTCCATGGTCCATCATACTACTCAGAAACAAGGCAGAAAAAGTAAGGCAACTAGGTGGTATAGTGGAAAAAGCTTTAGACTTAGAGTCAGAAAGAATTCAGTTCAAATCCAGATTCAGATACCAATAACTAGCTGTGTGACCCTGAAAAGGTCACTTATTCTTTCTCAGCCTCAGTTTCCTTATGGAGGTACCTACCTCACACAAGATTGTTGATCTGAATCCAACCAACAGGCTTATATAGTTAGGTGCTCATCCATACAGTTAGATGCTAATACCCAAGTTTCTAGGATGATTATAATAAACACGATGATAGCTATAACAATTACCTATTGCTTTAGAGTTTGCAGCATGCTTTCCTTTCCATAGCCCATGAAAGAAATAGTGTAAGGAATGTAATTAATAATCATAGAAACCCACACATTTACATGGTACTTTAGCATCAATACTAACAACGACAACAACAATCCTAGCAGGGAAGTAATGAGAGTATCTATCCCCATTTTACAGATGAGGAAAGTGAAGATAGAGCTATCAATTGTCAGACCTGGGACTTGAAACTCAGATCTTCTGACTTTAAGACCAGCAGTTTTCCCATTATGCTTCGCTGACTCTCCTGGATAATTCCCTAAATACTAATAAACGTCCATGTCAGAGCTGTGACATTTGTTAAGCACTTGGCGATGTTCAAAGCACCAGGCCAGGTACTGGAGATGCAAAGATGGAAAATTACATAGCCCATGCCATCCCTGGCCACAGCAAACACTCTCTGGTTTTAGGTTTTAGGTTTTAAAATGCACTAAGACTTGTGGGATATCCTGTATCTGTTTGTGGTAAGAGCAATATCCTAACCCCTCCCCCCATGCAAGTTAGGCTGTTCTTTTCCTTAAAAAGAGAGCTTCCTCAAGACTTGATTGGCTTAGGGGACTAAAGGCTTATGCTGTTGATATCACTTGCTTCTTGCCTGAGCACAAAGTAATCATGAGGAGCTCTAGTCAAGCTGTGATGCTTGGCTGATGAATCATGTTGGGTAACTGAGACAGGGCAAGTTCACTCAGCTGAATCAAATAGAGATGTCCTTAGTGCCTACACTTGTTAAATACCTTCCTGCCATAGCTAAATGTATTTCTAGTTCCCATGATTTGGGCAGGTCTTCTCCCTGGCATTGTAACAAGGACACAATTAGATCAAAGTGTGCATTTGTGTGACTCTGAACCAGATGTCTGGTATCTGGTGCTATCATTCTTCCTGTCTCCTCTCCCTTGTCTCCCTATCCTTGCCCTCATTTCAAAGTATCAGTATGTTCCCATAAGGGCTGAGTATATGACAAGAAGAACTTTCAGAAAATAGCTTTGGCTGCATTTCTAGCTTGATCCTGATTGGGACACTGCTAGTATTTGAGATGGCCTTTAAAAGATGGATGGGAATTCAGCAGGTGAAGATAAGAAAGAACAACATTCCAGTCATAGAGGACAGTGCGAGCAAAAGTACATAGGAAAATTGAAGCTGTGTCCAAGGCACATAGAGGACCTCAGCTTGGCTAGAGAATAGAGTATGTGGATTAAATAAATGGGAGATAAGGTAGGCTGGCACCAGTTTGTGGAAGACTTTAAATTCCAAGAAAAAGAACTTGAATTCTATTCAGTATTGGCCCCTGAAGACTTCTGAGTAGAGAGTGCCATGATCAGGACTATGCCAAAGGAAGACCATTCTGGTAGCTGTGAGAAGAGCAAATTGGAGCACTGAAGGGGAGAGAGACAGAAGGATATGACAGTAGTCTACAGGGCTGATATAAGACCCCTATTAAAGTGTTGGCCCCAGTACTAGAGAAGACAGAAACTGATTCAAAAGATCATTTAATCAAAAAACATTTATTAAGCATCTTTATTGTTGTTCAATTGTTTTAGTCATGTCCTACTCTTTATGACCCCATTTGGGATTTTCTTGGCAAAGATAATGGAGTGGTTTGTCATTTCCTTCCCCAGCTCATTTCACCAATGAGGAAACTGTGACAAACAGGGTTAAGTGACTTGCCAGGGTCACACAGCTAGTAAGTGTCTGAGGCTGGATTTAAACTCAGATCTTCCTGACTTCCAGGTCAGACACTCTATCCACTGTACCACTTAGCTGCCCATCCATAAAGAGATGGCAGTTGAACCCATAAAAGTGAATAAGGAGAGAGCATAGCAGAGAAATCAAGGATTTAACCTTGGAAAATAGCCACCGTAGAAGGGAAAAAGTCAAGGAACCAGAGCCAGAAAGAGATCACATAAGTAAATGCTCAAACAGGAAATGCTCTATTGTTCCCTACTATCTTCTGAGTTCATATTCACTTCTCTGACATTCAAGGTCCCTTGCAATCTAATATATTAGTCATTATTTCATATATACATATATACATACATACATATATAGTACATATATATGTATATATTAGTGCCCTCTGTTGATAATCCTCTATGCTCCAGCCAAATCAGATTACACTCTCTGCTCTTTGTTCATGCCATTCCCTTTCCCTGTCTTGTCTGCCTCTTCTTTACTTGTTGAATCTCTACTTACCCCTATTATCGAGAGGCTGAACTCAAATGCTGCCTCCTTCATGAGGCCTTCTCTGATTCTTCTTATCAGTAAAAAATCCCCCCTGGCCCCAGATTTACTTAGCCCTTTGGCTTACACTTTTCATGTGATCATAAATTGAGAGATGGGGGGGGCCCTCAGAGATTATCTAGTCTAGAAGGGTCAGTCCACAATACTCCTGAGGGCAACCTGAACTAGATTAAAATGGAATTAGGAAATATTTAGAATTTTAAATATTTTAATTTTAAATTTTAAAAATTTAAATGTTCAAATTTTTTAATTTAAATTTTTAAATACTTAAATTTTAAATATTGAAATAACATTTTAAAATACAATAAGATATAAATAATATCACATTTTAAACTAAGTAAATATGTGGCCTGCAGAGATCCTTAGGCACAGATTTGAGGTCCCCATTTCTATTTGGGTTTCACATTATTGATTGAATCATTTGATATATGAGTAAACTGAAAGTGATGAAGTGACTTGCCTAGGATGACATAGGAAGTAAGCATTGGAGGCAGGATTTGAACCCAGTGCTTTGGTACCACTCTCTAATGAATGTATTATATATTATATATTGTAATCATCTGGACTTATTCAACTCAATAAACATTTTTAAGTGCCTACTCTATGCCTGGCACTGTGCTAGGTTCTGGGGATGCATATAAAAAGGACAGCCCCTATCCTCAAAGAATTTACAATCTAATGATGGACAACAATACGTAAAAGGAATTTGGGAAGGGGAATCAGACACCAGGGGGATTCCTGAGAACAGGAAGTTGAAGCCAAGCAGAGCTGCAGATGCAGAGTGAAGTGAGCTGGAAAGTTTATGCCTTATTAGACCACAAGTTCCATGGAGCCAGACATTGTGTCTTTTTCTTTCCCTTTTTCTTTCCCCTCCAGCATGTAGCAAAATACACCCTATAAACCGGAGGTTCTCAACAAGTATTTAAAGGAATAAAAAACTTTGTAAGATTCAATTAATCAACAAATATTTATTAAGTGCCTACTATGTGCCAAGCACTGTGCTAAGGGCTGGGAATACAAATAGAAAAAGAAAAGACAGTCTCTGCTCTTAAGAAGCTTACAATCTAATGGATTAAATAAATATAAGTTCATAAGTTATTAGATATATTTGTTTTTTAAAGAAAACATTTTTACTATTAAGGGTGTATAGAATATAAGGAATATTTTGAATAATATCCTTAGAAGTCATCCTGCCGGATGTCAGTCTCTCCTCAGTGCATTCCTTGCCAGCGTGCTTCTATCTGTGACAGAAAGAAGCTGGGAATAAGAATATGAAGATTTGAGCTTTAGGGTCAACTCTACCATAGACAAAGTAACCAGCTCCTCTGAGTCTTTGTATCTCTGTAAAAGGAACAAAGTATATAAAATATATAAAAATATGTAAGACCTGCCTCCCTCAAGTGATTATTGCTAAGAAAAAGAAAAATAAGATAATATCTACGAAAGCTCTTTGAAAACTGAAGGGCTTAGACAAATGCAAATTATTATTCTTATTACTCCATGAGCTACAAAGAGTACATGGAGGCGAAAGACACAGTTAGGAACAGGAAAAATCAACTTTGCAATCCACCAGGTCGATTCAACAAGTCAAATAATTCAATCAGTACTTATTAGGTACCTACTATGTGCCAGGCCCTGGTAATACAAGACAAAACCAAAATATGCCCTCAAGGACCTTCTTTTCTATAGGAGAGTAACAACATTAGTCAATAAGAAATAAATACAAAGTAAATTTGGAGTCATTGTTGAGTCATTTTTCAGTCATGTCTGATCCTTCATGAACCCATTTAGGATTTTCTTGGCAAATATACTGGACTGGTTTGCCATTTTCTTCTCCAGTTCATTTTACAGATGAGGAAACTGAGGCAAACACAGTTAAGTGACTTATCCAGGGTCACACAGCTAGGAAGTGTCTGAGGCCAGATTTGAATTTAGGAAGATGAGTCTTCCTGACTCCAATTCCAGCATTCTATCCATTGCACCACCTAGCTGCCCAAAATTTGAGGTCAATAGGGCAGAAACAACTAGGTAGGGATAAGCAAGAGCCGATTCCTACAAATTCCCAAGAGCTGAATGTTATATTTTCATAGTGAGCAATTACACTTCAGAAATTGACAAATGCTACAAATCAGGACTTAAATTATTGTTCTGAGTAGTATCTAGACTTGAGAAAGAGATGAAGAAAATCTTAATGATGCAAATTAAACTTAAAAGTATGTTGTAGAGTGCTATTTTTTTTCCTGAGCCAGTTGTTAAACATTTGCTAGCACTCCCTTGACTAGAGGGCTAAAAAGGAGACAGCACTTGAGATGAGCCTTTCAGAGAGATGGGAGCTCTAGAAGGGAGGAATCATGGAGTCAGACTGTGAAAAGGAATGGAGATGGGAGATGGATCTGCTCTATAGAGCAATCACCAAGTAAGCCCGTTTAGCTAGAACACAGAGTGAGAGAAAGGGGCTCAAATGTAATCAGCATGGGAGTGGTTGGAAGCCAGATAATAAACAGCTTTAAATGACCAAAAGAAGGTCAATAGGACAACATTGTTATCATTGAGGCATTAGGGAGAAACTTTTATAGGAGGGACATGACATGGCCAAATTTGTGATTTCTAACTCATTTTATGAGTTATTTTATGTTTTCTTTAACCTATTTTCACTGAAATTGCTTTTCTCCAGGATTAGGTAAATCATGAGTAATTGCTTTCAAACCTGTCAATTGGAAATGAAATGTCATCTGGAGACTGGGACAGATTGGAAATTTACAGACATGAACTAGCAGAGTTATAGAAATGAAATGGGGTGTGCCTCTCACCTCCCCCCTATAGAGAAGGGGGCTTAACTTTTTCTGTGCCATGGATTCTCTTGCAATCTGGTGAAACCAAGGAACTCTGTCTCAGAATGTTTTTAAATGAATAAGATAAAATACATAGGGTTGCAAAGGAAACCAACTATATTGAAATATAGTTATTAATTTTTTCAAAGAGCAAATGCACGTACCTCTTAAATTTTAGGCACACGGAGGTCAATGGATCCTATGCTAAGGACCTCTACTATAGAGAGTATCAGTTTCTGGTATGGTCCTTTATATTAATGATTCACATTTCAAAAGGAGATTGTGGGAAGGATAGAGGAGGAAAGTTGGGTAGTGGGAAAAAAAAACAAAAGAAATCAGCAAAAAATTATTTTAAAAAGGGAACTGCCAAAAAATGTATAGCTTTTCAGTTAATATGAATTTGTTGAAATAAACTCTTTTGACCATGTCATTAGTGATTCAAAAGCCATACAAGATATGATCCCTTCCCTGGATCCGTAATTATAAATAATAGCCAGTATTTATATTGTTGTTGTTCAGTCATGTCTGACTCTTTTTGACCCCATCTGGGATTTTCTTGCCATTTCCTTCTCCAGTTCATTTTACAAATGAGGAAACTGAGGCAAACAGAGTTAAGTGACTTGTTCAGGGTCACACAGCTAGTAAGTGTCTGGGGCCAGATTTGAACTCACAAAGATAAGTCTCTTCCTGATTCCAAAGCCAGTGCTCTGTCCACTGTGCCACCTAGCTACCCAGCATTTATATAATGTTTTATACATAATATCTCTTTTTATTCTCACAACTCTGGCAGGTAAGTGTTATTGTTCTCCCCACTTTATAAAGGAAGAAACAGAGGCAAGCAGGCAAATACGGGTAAAGTGACTAGCCCAGGGTTACATAGCTACTAAGTGTCTGAGGCTGGATTTGAACTCAGGTCTTTCTGTGACCCCAGGTCCAGAACTCTATCCACCATACCACCTATCTACCTCTCCATGGTGGAAGAAAAGAAGGCCAAAAATTTTTTTAAGTTGCAAAGCATTATATCAATAGGTTGAAAATAAAGGAGAAATGGAATATAAGAATGAACTCACTGAAATTGTATGATGTTAATCAATGGTCTATTATTGAAACTGCAGCTGATAGTCATCCCAATGACTAGAATTGAGATTTTTGCATCCCATCCAGTCTGAACAAGTCTGCATGAAAAAAATAGATAGATAGATAGATAGATAGATAGATAGATAGATAGATAGATAGATAGAT